AAAAAAAAAAAAAACCCTGTAGTCTTCTTAGTTATTTTTTACAAATTTTCATTAACCATAAAATGAAAGTTTTAAATGAACAAAGGACCGTTAAGTTTCATCATTTTTTTTTTTGAGGTACATTTAGATAAAAAAAAACCAAAACAAAAAGAGCTTTACTAATATGCAAAACCTTTTCCCTTTTTTTATTTTTTTTTTTGAGTAAAAAATGCAAATTTTAACAGCAGTTAATTTGAATACTGATATAGCAGTTAGTAAAACAATTTAAATTCTCCGTCAATTTGTACAGTAATTGTTTACAATACCTCTATAGCCTATTCATTGTTCCAACAAATAAAATGTATATTTGGAACAATATATCCTTTCTTTTTTCTTCCATAATTGTATGCATTTTCATTAACTTTCTCTTTTCTTTGATAACAAAACATTAAACAATAATATATCGCTGCAAATAATGTTGTATTTTATTTGAAGTAAACTTAAGGTACAAAAACAAGACGGTTCTTTATTAACACCTGCGTAAGGACTTTTTTTTTTACAGAACAAAAAAAAAAAATGATGACGTATAAAGTTTGCCCATCTGAATATCCATCCAGCAAAAAAAATTTCGCGATATTGTTGAAATAGTTTCACCCTTTTCTCCATCCATCACTCTTTTTTCACCGCAATAATACTCTCACAGCCTCCATCCCCATCAGCCTCCACCGTCATCCCAATTCGACAACTGGCTTAGCATTATTTCAAGCAAAAAGAAAGAAAAAAAAATAATATGCGGGACCTGACTTGAAAGCTTTTTTTTCTTTTTTTTTTTTTTTTTTTTTTTTTATCATCGATATACATTACAGCTTCGTATATCAGAAACAGCAGTTTATACAGCGTTTTTAATTATTTTTTGGCGACATAACCTCAGTTATTTCCAGACAGAATCCAGGAGTATCACAAAACGAGATGAGTCAGATATCTTCGTATAATATTGGACCAGATGTTTTTCAGCATGGAACTATTGGACAATTTCTTGGTTCCAATCTTGAAGGTTATAATTGATTGTAAATGCTAAGGTTTTGAAAAAAAAAAATATTATTGAGCATAAAAATTTAGACAGTTATTTTTTTGGTTTTCGTTTGTGTAAAGATTAATGTAAGTGAGTAATA